TTCTGGGTGGGTGTGGGTGTGGGTGTTGGTGGGTAGGTGGACGTGGGTCTGGGTGTGGGGTGGGGGTGGGAGTATGGGTGTGGATGGGTGGATGTGAGTGTGTGGGTGGGTGCATGTGAGTGTGTGGATGTGGATGTGGATTAAGGAAAGAAATATACAAACACCCACACCCACATCCACACACCCACATATACTGACTAGGGTGTGGGTGTGGGTGTGGGTGTAGGTGGTAGTGGGTATGGGTGTGAGTGTGGTTGGGACTCTTCTTCCAATCTTCACTCACATCCATCCAAACCCCGACCCCACACATCCACACCCTAAGATACCCTCTACAAAACAATAACAAATGACAAGTTTCTTCAACAATACTTCAGAAATCATCTTGGAGTATGAGTGTAGATGGTGGGTTTGGGTGTTTTCTGTATCCGTACCGACATCTTCTGCCGTATATTTTTATGTACGCTCGAAATTACCTGAAACACGAATGTACCTCAAAGTTTGTTCTTCTTAATCAACTAACATATTAAACCATGAGTAAATCATTATAAAGGTTGCCAAATATCTTTCGTGTTAGAATATATTATATATTTCAAGAGTAGCTAAGATGGTAATGCAACCGCGCGTTTAATTCAAGGACAAATGTTTGAAAGTATACAATTTCGATAAGAAACCTCAGAAATGGACTGTGAGTGTCCACAAAATGTTAAGGATTATTCATAAAACTAAATAACCTATCGATTAGAAATATTTTTCTCTTTGCATTTGTGTATGATTAATGATTATTGCACATATACAAAGACTTTACTACCCCGTAGATATTGATATAGTTTTAGTAGTATTTATGCAAATATGACTACCTTTGCTGTATAATATCAAGAAGAAATAATTTTATACAGAGAATGAGTTGATTAGAGATGTCCGTAAAAAAAGTGCCACTAAATCAACAAAAGGGAAACTTCTTAGGTAAACAGTAATAATGAATGAAATATAACCTGAAAGCGTATTCTAGTTGAGTGTTGACAATTCTCTAGAGTATTTGATATTTTTTGTTTTCTTCTTGTTTGTTGAAGGATTATAGAAACAACATGAGTGTAAAAATATATTATATAATATTTAGAAATTTTTAAAACCACATAAGCACAAACATTGAATTCTTTATGAAACAAATTCAAATTAAGGTAAGAACTAATGTTAAGATTTGCATTGGAAAGTGGTACAGTAATACTGACTTAAGTCGCATAAACATCTCTTATTAAGATTGATAATTTAAATTAGTATAAAGTTAAAGTTGATGATGAAGTAAATCGATGCTTTCATATGTTTAAACATCTTCCTTAGTGCACGTATGAAGATGGGCGATTTCAGCGTACAGTTGAACTAATTTCATTCATAAGTTGAATGTTAATTTGATTATATAACAAGATATGGATAAAATCATTTGTTAGCGACGTGACTTCGCAAAATTAAAACATGAGTATTTCGAGATAATGAATTTTCCTAGATATGATTTTTATATGTTGCATGGACATTAAGTTACTCTAGATATCCTAAAAAAATCAGCGCTATGAATGTTTGTTCAAAGGAGTTATCGGTAAAAAACCACCGTTAGTGACATGACATAAAGAAGGACATCGATTGTCACTTCATGTATTTTAGTTTTTAAAAACTTCTAACTCATGCACAATTGAGGGTGTGGGTGTGAGTGTCGGTGTCGGTGTGGGAGTGGGTGTGGATGTACTTTCAGAAATGACTCATACTCACACCCACACCCACACCCTTGTTAGACAGTTCAGTTCCAAGTACTGAGCTGTTTAAACAGATCAACTCCTATCGGAGAACATTTTCAACAGTTTCCTCAAATCGGAGCAATTACAGAACTGTCACATCTCTAGTAATGATACCTTTTTTTGCCCTAGTTATATTATGTGGAGCTTAATAAGCAAGTTGGAATACTTTATTGCAATAATCAAAATTCTAGTTCCAGAGGAGCACCAAAACCCAAATGTATACTCAAAACTCAAATCACAAAACCCAAGAGTTTTGGTATTGGTTCATGTCTAGTTGGTAGAAGTCATCTAAACGAGTTTGTCTCTCAAGATGATTCTATTGAGTTCTTCGACGAACGTTGAAAAACATGTAATGGAAACAGACGAAATTCAATTGAATTGGAACTGCAATTAGAAAATGATGTTTTAAGGCTAAAAAAATTAACTGTTCGCCGTGCAAACGCATTATTATTCTCATATTAACCTTCTTTATGGGCAGTTGACATAAAATAAGTAGAAAAAGAAGTTTTTAGAAGACCATAAAAAGCATATCTCTTGTCAATCTATCATATTTCACTATGCTTTTTAGACAGAAAAGTAGGTAATAAAGAATCATTGTTGCTCTCAATATATCCAACGATAGTTGAATGGAAAGAGAATACAGCTCACCTAACATCGATACTGTGGCTATTGTTTGGCTCGATGAAGAAACTTCCGAAGACGATGAAGCTACTCGACTTAGTATAGCAAGTAATGTCGCTCGTGAAGTATATTATAGTTCAACTCTCGAATCGTTTCTTGATCATATTTCACAGTTGAATTTCATGGACAAAATATTTCTCATCATCTCTCAGTTAGAACTCAAAGAGCTTTTACGACTTAAATCGCCTCTTCCAACTCAAATTGTCGCGATCTATGTATTGGGCGACACGTGGTTCAATTCTTGGAATAGAACAATTGTACGAGACGTCTTCTATAAGGATGAAAAGAAAAGACTTATTGACAAATTATCAAAAGACTTCAAAGATCATTTTTCTCAAAGCTGGCTTGAAGGTATTAGTTTCTTTAGAACCGATATTAAACAACGAGCGTTTGGTGAATTAAACCGTCATAATGCTGAATTTATGTGGTTCAAGCTGCTCTTTAAAGTTTTGGTCACCATGCCACCCAGTTCAAAAAGTCTTGACGAACTTCTTCAACAAACCTTTCTTTTCTATCAAGATGATCTGACTGAACAAAACAAAATTTTCGAGTTTAAAAGGAATTATACACCATTGGATGCCGTTGCTTGGTACACAAAGATAGCTTTGTCTATCGTATGGTAAATACAGCTCTCCGCACAAGAGATATTGATCTGATGTTTACCTATCGTTTTTTTATTCGTGATCTTCACCTTCACTTGATCCAACTGCATACACAACAAAATGTTCAAGAACCTTTTACAGTTTACCGAGGCAGCTGCATGACTCTTAAAGAAATTGATATCCTTGAGAGTAACATCGGGCATCTCATTTGTCGCCACACATTTCTTTCTACTACTAAAGATAAAAATGTGGCAATTATGTTTTTGGGATCTGAAAAATGTACTGATAAGGTCCGTGTTGTGGAAGAATTCTATATCGATCCATTAATATGTAAAAGCAAGCCATTTTATAGAATTGTAGAAAGCGACAATACTGAGGAGAAGGAAACATTATTTTCTATCGGCACAGTATTTCGTATTAATTCGATTAACAAAGACGAGTTAACTGTTTTTTCGATCAATATGTAAGTTTATACTGATTAAGCTGTATTCTTTGTATAGAATGAAAACATTTGGTATATGAGATTAACTTTAATCGACATTGAAGAAAGTGTAACACACGAACTTTATCGACTTCTCGAAACAGAAGTTGGAAACGAAAGTAACCTTCTTACTTTGTGTAACCTTCTTACTTATACTGCCCAATACGGTAGAGCAGAGCGATATGCGTGAGTTAACGAACATTATTTAGAAATAAATGTAAACTCGAATATTTTAGCCAATTGCTACTGAAAGAACTTCCTCCCGATCATGTTGACATTCCATTAATACATAATTACCTTAGTATCGCCCTGCAAAGCATGAACCAATATGAACTTGCTGTGGAACATTTAAACAAAGCAATTGAGCTTTATAGTACTTGGCCCATATATGCTGATGTTCCTGCCGATCGTGACGAAGGTATTGCAAGATCATATCATCAGTTAGGTCGTTTGTATAAGAACTGCGATCATTATAATGATGCTCAAACCGTTCTTGATCTAGCGCTGGAAATGAGACAAGACACGTGGTATAATAATGATGATTTGACCTATGAGCGTCGTCGTCGACTAGTGTAACGAAAATGGTGATGCAGCTCTACCACTGGTTGGGCATTGATGTAAATGAGCTACTAGTGCATTCCACTATCGTTATGACAAATGGAGAGGCACATTAAATGTCTTTGATCCCATTGTGGGCATGATGTTTATTCGACTGATGCACTACATCCAAATGTAACTATTACACATACAACATGAGCTTATATATGAGAAGGATGGAAGAGAAGAGAGAGAATAGATGGTACAATACAAAAGAGAGAAGGGAAAGAGGAAAGATATAACAGAATATTCCACATTACAAGGTCAGTCAATGGTTGCTGTTGAAAGGACATCCATCTTCTTATGTCAACCTTGTTGGTCCAATGAGATTGAGAAGATGTGCCTATTAGCGTCGTATGACGCACTAACGATTAACGTACAATCGTATCGTTTACATATGAAGGACTCATTTGTATACACGAGTAGAATAAGAGACGATGACAAGAAAGATGAGGAGACCAAGGAGAGAATAGATACAGAAGAGCAATGAAATAAAAACACATAGATCGGAACAATATGTATCATATACAATTGAATAGGAAGCGCATTACGACAGACAGAGAACAAGGTTCCGTAAGAGTAACGCAGTTAAGAACATACGTATCATTGATTGTACAAGAGCACACTGAGAAAGATAAGATATCACATGGAATAATATGCCTATTGGCACAGCTAGCTCTTGCACGAGCTCACACCTATGAAGTGTTGGGTATTATTCATGTGAATAAAAGTAAATATCATGAGGCTCTCAAAAACTTTGAAGAAACACTTACTTTACGCCAGAAGTATTTGCCTGCAAATCATTTTTACGTTGCTGATATCTACAACAATTTCAGTCTTGCTCATTCTAAGATGGGAAATTCAAATGAGTCTCTAGTTTACCTTGAAAAAGCACTCGATATCCAACGTCAGTCATTACCTTCAAATCATCCAAATCTAGCTACCATGTATAATAATATCGGTGCTACTCATTGGAAAGCGTGTCAATATGATAAAGCACTACCTTACTTTAAAGAAGCCCAAAGAATTGCAAAAATAGCCCCATATGGTAGTATTCATACTAAATTAGAACTTACTATAATGAGTAACTATGCTTCGGGTCTTCGTACCTTAAATAAATACGATGAAGCATTAGTATACTACAACAAAGCATTGTTAATAGCTCAACGTATGGATAAAAATAATCCTGTTATCATTAGTCTTTAAACAATATCGGCTTTATCCACTCAGATAAGGGAGGCAAGCTTTGCGCTGTGCAGTACTTTACTCAGGCATTGACTCTATGCCAACAAATTTTTGGCGAAAATCATGTACTTACAGCCACAACTTACAAGAGTTTAGGAGACGAACTTGAAATTGATGAATACGATCGCGCAATGAGTTATTTTCAACGTGTGTTTGATATACATGATCATTTAAATCTTCCATACCATAAAAATGTTATTGACAGTCTGATTTTTAAAGGACGTTTGCATAGAAAAATGCATGAGCATGATTTGGCTCTTGAAACATACAAGAAATCTTTGGCATTAGCTGAGAAGCATTATCCTGAAGATCATCCGCTGGTAATTCGATCTTGTTCGTATGTTGCTTTAGCGCTTACTGACCATGGTGACGACTACTTGCTAGAAGCAGTGAATATGTATGAAAGAGCATTGAAATTAACATCACCCAATGACCCTGAACGAGCACGTATGCAGCGACTTCTGGACGATGCACGTCAGAGGATCAATGTTTAAAATAAAAAAACTAAATTTAAGAATGTATTACTTTCATTCAGGACATATCTTGTTTTTTTTACTTCGAACTCATCAGGATGTATATTTCAACTTCTCAAAATGAGTTTCTATTTTGATCGGATTGTTTTCGAGTCTGACGATTTCCCTCATAGATATCTTCTGTCTAAAACAACTTTGAAGATTAAATATAAATATCAAAAGTTTAACACACAATTAGCAAGAACAAAATGGTCTCTCAATTACAATGAATAGAGATCTAAGTACTTGTCTCAAGGGGGAAACGGCAGTCTCCATGATTCCATGGCTCCACCTGACTCCATTTGACTCCACCTGACTCCACTTGACTCCAAGTGAATCCACCCTTTTGTGGAGTCCTTACTATTATAGAAGCATGATGCTTTCCATTTCCTCATTTGACTATTCAAAATAGTAAAAATATGATGCAAGTAAACGAGCGCGTGGATTTTTGCTGAGGCTACAGGAATATTTCAATAACCCTTTCCTTAACCCTTTGGGGACGGAGTTTTTTTGAAAAGATAGTTTTCTTACAAGAAAGAAAATAGATGTTTATTCAATCAAAAATCATTATCAAAAGTGTTTTAGGGTATGATAAGCGGTGAAGCAATCAATTGTTCCTAACTCAACAAAGGAAAATGATTCTATAGACTACTTTCACTCAGTTCTGATTGATTTGGTATATATACCGTACCAAAATTTTGAGACATACTCGAAGTGGTATATATACCACGCCCGTTCCCAACGGTTTAAAAAGAACTTTTTTTTAATTACTGACTATGTCTTATGCGTTTGCTTAAGAAATGAATCAAATATAAAAAGAACAAAAAACAAATGGACATAGGAATATAAAATCAATCCATAACTTGATAGGTAGAATTAACCATGCAAAGAAACAATAAGTGAATTACTAAGTTAAAAATAGGGGTGGCACTTTAACTTTTCTTTAAAAGTTAAAGTTAAAGTGGCACTTTAAACTTTAAAAGTAAAAGTTTAAAGTTAAAAGTACTACTTTAAACTTTAACGTTTAAAGTTTAAAGTACTACTTTAAACTTTAAACGTTAAAGTTTAAAGTACTACTTTTAACTTTAACTTTTAAAGTTAAAGTTGCCATACTTTAAACTTTAACTTTAAAAAATTTAAAGTTAAAGTAGATGTTTAACTATAAAACAAAATTTTTCTTAAAAATTCATAAAAGTCAATAAACATTTATGAAAGTACCCATAACTCTTCATGCACTGTGAAACGGGCCCATCGATAGGTAATCATCGACCATATAATGGGGGTACCTTTGGGTCATTAACTACTATATATTTGGGGTACCCTTGGGTCCTTATATACTATATATTGGGGGTACCCTTGGGTCCTCATATACTATATATTGGGGGTACCCTTGGCTCCTCATATACTATATATTGAGGGTACCCTTGGGTCCTAATATACTATATATTGGAGAGACCCTTGTGTCCTTAAATACTATATATTGGGGGTACCCTTGGATCCTCATATACTATATATTGGGGGTACCTTTGGGTCATCATATACTATATATTGAGGGTACCCTTGAGTCCTCATATACTATATATTGGGGGTACCCTTGGGTCCTCATATACTATATAT